AAATGCTCCTCTTGTAATTTCTATAAGACTTTTAATTTCTTCATCCGGATTTAGTGTCTCGTTTATCCAACATTCTAGATATTTAAAATGGTTAACTTTTGGTATCGGTTCAGTATTGACAATTAGTTGTATAGCGCCGAGGCTTGTTTACTAACCACAAGTAACTTTGTCTTTGTTGTATTATGCTTAGTCCGTTATTAGAGCATTCTCTAGTGACTTGATCTATAAGGAATTGAAGATCTTCGATACTTTCAGCCATGATTGCGGTGTCATCTGCATATATGATGTTGTTAATAGTTTCTCCCCCGATTCAAACTCTACATTGCCCTTCCAAGGCTTTGTTAAAAATTATTTCTGAGTAAACGTTAAACAAAATTGCAAACAACACACAACCCTGTCTAACGCCTCCTTGAATACAAATTTTGTCTGTTTCTTTGCTACCTACCAGAATAGAAGCTTCTTGATTCCAATATAGATGTTGTAAAAGTCTCAGATTTTTATCATCTATTCAAATTATTTCTAGATATTGATAAATTGGGTTCTGTACTTCCCAGGATCGTTGAAGTAGTGTTAGCATTGAGAACGAAGCTTCCCTTTTTCCCAATCCTTCTCTGAAACCGAATTGTTTATTTCTTATTGTGTCTTCACATTTCTTCTTGATTCCATTAAGAATTATCCTAAGAAGTAGCTGGAGAGAGTAACTAATGAGACAAATTAGTCTAAGTCTTTACATGATGATGTATTAGGTTTTTTTGGAAGTGGGATAAATGTAGACTTGAACCATATTTGTGGCATTGTTCCAGTTTCGTATATGTGGTTATAAATGTTTTTAGTTCTGTGACATTGTCGTCGTCTAGAAGTTTTAGCCAGTCTGATGGTATTTGGTCAGGGCCTGGAGATTTCCCATTTTTGCTTTGTTTGATGGCTTTCTCTACTTCTTTGTTTAAAATATTAGGACCAGTATTCGTATACTTTGTTGCTTTAAGTGGTGGCCTCGTATCCAGGAAGAGCTTTTTTTGTAGTTGGTCCATTCTTTCTTTTTTTTGTTTAAGTCGAGAATAATTTTACCTTTGGAATTTTTCATAAAGTGAGGAGTTCTTTTTCTCTGAGTGTAGGTAATTTCTTTAAGTTTTTTGTGTATATTAAACTCGTCATGTTTTATTTGTAGTTCTTCCATCTCACGACACCTCTATTCCATTCAGTCCTCTTTTGCTTGCTTAATCTCGTATCTTATTTGTCGAAATATTTCCCTATATCGAGTCCCATCTTTATTTTTACAATTTCTTCTTTGCTGAATAAGGTCTAGTATGTTATTGGTCATCTAATCCATTTTCTTTACTTGCTATTTTTCTGACTTTAAAACTTCGTTTGCTATGGTAACCATAGCGGAATTCATTATATCTATATTTTGTCCGATATTTTCTTGTTCAGATCTTTTTAGCTGTTTTTTTGATATCATGATTAATATTATTTCCAAGCTCATCTGCTATTACGGCATTTCTTAGGAGTCGATTAATATGTTTCTTCTGAGCTGTCGGGGTTTTTATTATTTTTAATTTTAGTTTGAATCCAGCACAGAGCAGATTATGATTAGTTGCTGCGTCTGCACTTGGGAATATTTTTTCAGATTTAATACTGTTTCTAAACCGTCTGTTAATGATAATGTAGTCGATTTGATTTCTGACTATCTTTTCTTCTTGATCAGCTGGAGATTTCCAGGTACATAGTTGTCTTTTAGGTTTTTAAAACAAAGTATTTGCTATAATGAAATTCTCTTCTTAGCAGAACTATACCAGTCTCTGCCCTCTTTCGTTCCTTTCTCCAAGTTTATAAGTTCCGTTTATAGCCATATTATAGTCCATAATAGCTAAAGATCTAGGTATGGCAAGAGAGATGGTACAGGAACTCGTTGTGGCTACAGAAAATGTAGGTTTAAATATAAATATCTCGAAAACAAAAATCATGACCAATTTGGTGCCCAACCAGAAAATCAGTATTGGTGGAAAAGAAATAGAACTCGTAGATAGATATAAATACCTGGGACATGAAATTATGATTGGCAGAGATAACCATACTCATGAACTGAAGAGAAGAGTCGGCCTTGGGTGGGTAGCATTTGGAAAACTGAGAGAAACTTTTAAAAGTGAGCTGTCCACATGCCTAAAGAGAAAGGTATTTGATCAGTGCGTCCTCCCAGTCTTGACGTACGGAGCAGAAACACTTACCTTAACAAAAGCAGCAGCTACCAAACTGAGAGTCACGCATAGAAGAATGAAGCGGTCCATGTTAGGAATAACTCTCCGAGACAGAATAACAAACGAAGACATCAGGAGAAGAACCGGAGTGACTGACATCGAGAAGATAGCCAGACAGATAAAATGGAGATGGGCAGGACACATAGCCAGAATGACAGATGAGCGATGGACAAAGAGGTTATTGGAATGGAGGCCAAGGGAAGACAAGAGAAGCGTCGGTCGACCACCTACAAGATGGACTGACGATTTAAGAAGACTCAATAAAAACTGGATAAGAGCGGCGCAAGATAGACGGGGTTGGAAACATGAGGAAGAGGCCTATGTTCAGCAGTGGGCTCTTGAGGCTGGATGATGATGATGATAATTTCCGTTTACATCTTGTGTTATTTCGGCACCAACTTTTGCGTTGAAGTATCCCATAATAATTGTAGCTTCATGTTTTTTGTGCTCCTGAGAATTTTTTAAATTTGGTTGTAGAATTGCTTAACTTGCCTTTACTTGGTTTGTTAGCTGTTGGTGCATAGACTTATATTAATATTTCTTAATTTATTTTGCAGCTGTATCATCGTGATGCATCTTTGACAATAATTACAACTCCGTTACGTCTGGGTCCTTCTGCCTTTCCCAAGTGGCAGACAATGTATCCATTGCTCTCGAATATCTTTGACCCCAGCCATTTCGTCTCACAGATACCTAGGATAGGAATGTCTAGTCTGGACATTTCCAGCTGAATGTTGTGTAACTTCGCGCCTTTAAACATAGTTGTGACGTTCCACGTAGCTATCTTGTGGACATCCATGACACGGGGTTTTCGTGAGTTTACGACCTAAGAGGTCCCATGGTCTAATTGTGATCTTCCTCCCCTGCCTGATCTTGGATTCTGAAGTCCATGATCATTAATAGTATGCATAGTTTCTTCTTCTGTCATGGACTAGAGATTCTGTACTAGACATTCTGTACTAGAGATATCCAAAAGGATCTTTAATGTAGTGGTTTCTTCTGGCCTTCTACATTCTGATGCCGTTGACCATTTCTTGGTTCCTATGCCTTTGAGACCGATTTCTCGGTCTTAGTACAACAGAGTGCCGTACCACTCACCAAGTCATCCGCCCGAAGCCGTTGTACAGTAAGTGGGAGATTTCTTATATCGTCAATCATTCAACTTATCTGTAACCCTAGACAAAGGGCCCTTACAGGGTGCTATCAGCCGGGCCAGCTGAACCCTGGTTTTCTATAGAGGAGTTACTCCTCTCCCCTCCTCTTTTATCCGGGCTTGGGACCGGCTGCATCAGGTGTAAGACTACTCAGTTCACTCCACACCTACTACAGGCAGAGTTATTGTTACGTCATGGAAATTGTGGACTTGTATTAAGGTGAGAAAAAGAACATGTGCAGTGGTGTTTATAAGAATGAAGATTTGTATTATTCACAGATAAAGCTAGGTTTTTCATCTACCCTGATTAAAGAAGAGTAAAAGTTTGAAGAGGACCTGATCGAAAAAGGTGACTCAGACATGTACAAGGTGTTTGTCCATATAGTGGTCTACCAGTAATAATGTGAGGTGGAATAGTTTTTCATCATCGATTTGTTCCCGTTTTAGTAGAAAGCTGTAGAAGGCACTTTGAGTCAATCTCAATATATTGATCGTATTTTAGAACCTGTTGTCTTTCCATTTGCCACTGCTGCATGTCTTGATTTGCGGTACCTGCAGGATAATGTAATATATTGCAGCAATATTAAGATATTGGTTTTATAATAAGAATATTTTACTTTTGTCGTGCCCAAGACAATCGCCAGTTCTTAATCCCATTGAGTATGTGTGGGATATGCTTTACAGACAGATTGCTCCTCATCTGCACAGTGTTTATACTAGACAAGGTCTGTAACATCTTCTTAGACAGGAACAAATCCTATTGACTTAAAACGGGATTGATTATTTAATTTTAAGCATACTAAGGAGGTATCAAACTGTAATTAATGTGGCGGAAGGAAACACAGATTATTACATACATTTTTTGTTCGATTTTTATGTGTTATATTGACTTTTATGCTATAATTTTACATAAAATTAGTGCACCTTTTAACGTTCCTTTGATTATTTCATCATAAAGAAATTATAGTACACCAAAATTAAGCTTTTATTGCTGAGTATACAGGCATTAAAACGGTATCTCACTTTTTAAAATCCAATTAAAATTAACTTTTATATCAAAAAAAACTTCGTGTTAGTTAGACATTTTTTTATGTGTCTACTTTAAGTTATTTGTATGGATATAAAATAGGACCTTTTAGCCCCACTCTACCCTAATATAATATGGTACTATTATTTACTACTTTTTATTAAATAGTCGTCCATACATAAAATTACGACAAAATATTTAAATCACATAAAAAATCCATACTTTTTAACGGAAGTACTTAGTTGGTATCTTTTCGAACATATTATTTTAACAATTAGTCACCACCTAAAAATTCCAAGGATTACGCACCTTTGATTTAAATATTCATATATTTTCTTTGAATTTCATTAAATTATCATTAAATTAATATCAAAAAGCAATAACAAATAAATTTTAAACCAAAACAACATAATAATGCAATAACGTCGGCCATCCAGGTACCATAAAGCGTATCGCCCCTCTCCAACATACCTTTGCAGCGGTACCACCTAAGCGATAAGCAAATTGCACCTGTAGTTCTCCGAACAATACGAGTTACAATCGCAAATCCACGCAACAAATGACTCACGCAGGTAAAACGAAGTAAAGTCAGATAGTCAGGTCAGCGAATTGTAGACACCTGTTACGTTGTACCTCTTATCCTACTGATAGTTTTTTAATATGTAAGGTGTTAAAGTACTTTTTACATCACTAGGTCGAACATCACGAGAAAATGCTGTGGAAAATTGTGTTTTTTGTTTCGTTTTGTGCATCTGCGGCCAATAGCCAAGGATTAACGGTCACAGGTGTTAAGTGCGGTGAAAGAACTTGTAAGTTATTGGAATATTGTTCGGACTTCGATGGAATCTGCGAGCCCTGTGTTGATATTTGCAATAGTTCACATCACAACTTTAATCAGAACTTGTGCGAGAAAAAATGTCAAAGTAAGTACGACTTTGTCAAATAATAAAAATATCTTAAACGGTATTTTTTTTTAAGAAAACAATGTTTATTTTGAGAGCATTATGTCAAAGAAACTACATTCCACTAAAACAACAAGTTTTTGATAATATTGTAGTTAATACGTGAAGCCTTAACCTTGACCAGAATAAATACACCTTATCTAAAAAACAATATTGAAAAATTTGTCAGTAACATGTACCTATACATTTTTATTTATTTTTTAAAAGCTACTAGTACGTCTTCATATAGAGGGACTAACCGTTTATCGAAATAAAGTGTAAAGCATTTCTTAAAAAAAAAAAATAGGGAAGAATAGTACACAATGAGAAAAAAATACATTTTTGTTTCTGACATTACCATTTCTGGATTTGTGTACAAACTGAGTAAACCAATCATCAGTATGATTTTTACCTAATACAATCTCTAATAAATATTCCCTCATTAGGGAAGAAACAAAATGTTTTATTATTTTTCTAACCATCTACATCTGCTATACCATTGGTGGTACACAATGAGCCAAAGTGGTATTATTTTAATATTTTTTTAAAGTAAATACATAAAGTGTGGCTTTTATTATTGGAAATATTAATTTTTGCAGGTAAAATAAAAAACTGCAATAAAAGAACATTTTAATGGATCAATATTGTCAAAATATACGCTAAGGATATTATCAAAATAAACGTAATTGATGTTAATCATCACGTTTTTGAAATAAATTGTTCTTGCTATTTAAGACAGTTAACTAAAAGTAAAAAAAGAGTTAACTAACAATTCTTCTTCTGGTTCTTATCCGTTTCGGATGTTGGAAATCATATTGGCAATCATAACCTTGCTCGCTGCGGCTCGAAACAGTTCCGTTGAAGTTTTCTTAAACCGTGTTCTTAAATTCCGCAGCCATGATATTCTCCTTCTACCAGGTCCTCGCTTATCTTTGACTTAACCTTGCAATATAGACTGCAGCAGGGAGTAACGGTGCTGATTTCTCATAACGTGTCCCAGATATTGCAATTTTATGCGTTTGATCGTAAACACAATCTCTGGTTCCTTCATTTTTTCTAGAACTTCCTTGTTCATGATCCTTGCTGTCCGTGATATTCTCAGCATTCTTCTATAAAGCCACACCTAAAATGCTTCAAGTTTTTTAAAAGTTGTGTCTTTAAGCGTCCGTTCCCCCGCCCCGTACAACAACACAGAGAAAACATAGCATCTCAAATGTCTCATTTTTGTATCTAGGGATATGTTGTGACTTTTGAAGATAGCGCTTATTTTGTTAAAGACCGTTCTTGCCTTTCCTATGCGGCACTTTATTTCCTGTACATTGCTCCACTGTTCGTTTATAATAGTTCCCAGGTAGCAATACTGTTTTACTCGCTCTATCTGCGTCCCATTAATGTATAGATGAGCCTCGTTTATATTCTCCTTGCTGATAGTCATGCTGTTTCGTTTTGTGGGTATTAATGTTTAGTCCGTACTGTTAACTGTACTCGTTTATTCTGTCCATTAGCCTCTGAAGTCCCTCTAAACTATCTGCTGTCACCATGGTGTCGTCGGCATATCTAACATTGTTTACTCTTTCACCATTTAGAAGCATGCTTTCGTCTATTCCGTAAAGAGCCTCGTTAAAAAATTTCTCTGAGTACATATTAAATATCAACGGCGATTGGATACATCCCTGTCTAACTCCACGTAGTATTTTTATGTGATCTGTTTCTTCTCCGTTAATTTTCATGTATGCGGTCTGATTCCAGTAGAGTTCTGAAATTATTCTGAGGTCATTGTCATCCAGGACTGCCTCTTTTAAAATGTTTATCATCTTTTGATGTTGAACTCTATCAAATGCCTTTTCATAGTCAATCAAGCACGCGTATACGTCGCAGTTAACGTCCCTGCCTCTTTGTTAACAATTCTAGCAATAAAAATCTTTCAAAAAGAATCCTGAAAAACCTTTATTGAACATTTATTTTCAGAATAGGCTTACGTACCAAGCTTAACGACTTACAACAAGTGGTTGCTTGTTCTAAATATAATATAATTATACTAGATAAAACGTGGTTAAATTCAGACCTTAATAATGCTGAGTTGGGACTTTCCAATTACAGCATTTTTAGAGCCGATAGAAATCATCTAATAAGTCATAAGCAACGTGGAAGAGGTGTTCTGATAGCTACATCTAAAAGTGCGTAAAGTTGTTATACCACAAAATAATATTAAACAAGTTTTTGTGTCACTTAAGTGTCACAATCAAATGGTTATTTTGGGTTCTGTGTACATCCTTCCTGCTTCTGAACAGCAGTGTTACATTGATCATTGTAGCAGTGTTGAGTTTGTTTTTGAAAACTTTCATGAATTTGATATGATTATATGCGGTGATTATAACTTACCCAATGTTAAATGAATAAATGATGAATTTGGAATTAGAGTTCAATGTTTTCTTAATTGTCCTGGTAATGATTTGTGTAATAGTGCCAGTTATTGTAATTTACCTTAAATTAATGTAATACCTAATAGCAGAAATACTTTTCTCAACTTAGTTTTTTCTATATTATCTAATATAATTGTGTCAGAACCATCAGATCCCTTGTTTGATAAAAGTGTCCATCATACTCCCGTATCTTTGGGATTGCTTGTAATGTTAACTCATCAACTTGAAGAATACTTTGTAGATTTCAGAAATGATGATTAGTTTAATATAAATTATCTTTTGGCTGAGATTGATTGGAAATTAGTTTTTATCAACAAAAATATCAACGTTGATATTTCGTATCAAAATTTCAACATTGAAACCTTCTATGACATTCTATACAATTTAATACATAATTGTGTACCCATTAAAAAATATAAAACATCCACATATCCTAATTGGTATAACTGATCTAAAATCACTAATATCAAAAAAGAACACTGCTCATAAAACATTCAAACAGACAGGTATGGAAGGAGATTATAATATATTTTCAAGTATTAGAACTCAGTGGAAAGAAGTTACGAATTTACTATATAAAAGACATGTTCAGGAAACTAAAAACAATATATCTGAAAACCCTAGATCATTCTGTAAATTTATAAATAATAAAAGAAACTCACATATGTTACCATCAGTTATTAAGTATGATGATTATACTGGGGCAAATAGTCAAGAAATCGTTGATATTTTTGCGAATTTTTTTTCAACTGTCTACAATGAAGGTAATCAAATTCCTATTTTTAAATTTGAGAAATCTGCGAATGTAAGCAATTATGTTGTTGACATTAAGGAAATAATTAATGAATTTCTGAGTAGCCCGTGGAAACTTATCAAGGAACCTGACGAAGTTCCATTGTATTAAAAAAAAATGTGTATACCCTTTGGCAGAATCAATACACCATTTCTTTAACCTATCACTAACATCAGAGATATTTATCGATTTCTAGAAATCTAGTTTTTTAAAACCAATTTTCAAGTCTGGTCAGAAAGATAAAGCTGAAAATTACTGTGCAGTTTGTATACAGTCAAAGTTACCAAGACTATTAGATTTTTTTGTAAATAGAATGTTAAGTTTTGATTGTAAAACATCTAAATATATAAAAATCTAAAAACAAACTCGTTGGAGTCTGGTTCTCAGGTCGATTTAATCTATGCTGATTTTTTAAAAGCTTTCGATAGACTCAATCATGAGATCTTGATTGCTAAACTTTGTGGCTATGGCATTAGCGATAATATCACAAATTAGATTAAACATTATTTAAACTTTGACAGTATACAAGGCAACTATCGAACACGGTGATTAATTTAATCTTGCCCAAGTACTTTCGATCAATAGATCATCTTCAGGGGCATTTCGTCAGTTGTGACCTATCCGACATGAGTAGAATGTCATAAATGCAAAATGACATTCTACTCATGTCGGATAGGCCACAACTGACGAAATGCCCCTGAAGATGATCTATTGATCGAAAGTACTTGGGCAAGATTAAATTAATCACCGTGTTCGATAGTTGCCTTGTATACTGTCAAAGTTTAAGTATTCTAACATTCAACCTTATATTGATTTAAACATTATTTGTCTAATCGTTCTAAAATGGTTAAATATGGCAGTTTTTGTCAAAACCAATTCATATAACATAAGGTGTTCCATAAGGGTCTCATTTGGAGCCACTGCTTTTTAATAAATTTGTTAACGATTTACAAACAGTAATTAACTCCGACCAATTCCTCTGATTCGCTGATGACATGAAAATCTTAAGATCTATTGTTTGTTTTTTTGATTGTGAATGATTTGCATTTATCCTTAAATAATTTTTCACGTTGGGGTGAAGTAAACGTTTTAAACTTAAATCTAAAAAAATGTTTTAAAATCACGTTTAGTAAAACGTAGGCTTCTTTTATAACTGCATTGTACTGCATTAGTATCTACAACTAAAGGAAAAATAAAGTAGCCTTGAACTTTACCACGTTTTCTTAAAAATTGCATCTCTAATTCAATATCGTCTACATGAACTAATGTCTACAGAACTATAGCAACATAAAATATATTGCTTTTAAATTTCACTAATACAAAACTATCAATGGAAATTTCTGTACTAGCATCAATGCCATAATCGTCTTCCAACTGTAAATTTTCACATTCAGCGCCAGAAGATTTGTCATAATTGATTAGTTCTTCACTCTCCTCAGATGAAGTGCTATCCCATCGTTTATTTTTTTCTGTTTTCATGCTAAGCTGCTTATTTTTTTTTTAATTTACCTTAATACGTTTATTATTCTGAAGAATATATATTTTTTTAATTGATTGAAGTAAGGTGTGTTAGTTAAAATTGCACTCTTTTTAGTTTTCCTTTTCGTTACACCTTTTCTCTTTCCTGCTTTTGGAAATACTTTTAAACTCGTGATGGGATATGACCGAACTTGAATTCGCAGATGATACTATTGACTTGGAGTTTTGAGACAATATCGCTTTTTCAAATATCCTTTGTGGGATACTACTTGATTTTCAGGTGTCTT